CATGGAGCTTTTTCTATTGACAAGATTTCATTACTACCTTACTTCTTCATAAAGCCCCTAAAAGCACTTAGCTCAGAGATCTCAGCTCTAAAAACACTGTTTGCATCTTTGATCTCTGGTAAGGATGGAATTGTTAATGGTTCTAGTGACATTCCAGCCCTTAAGTAAGAAACATGTTCCTTTTCTTTAAGGTCTTTTTTCCCTAACCTGTCTAACCAAAGAACAGGAAATCTCCTGTTCTTAAACACATGCCCTCTGAAGAGGTAACCTTACCAGGATTGAGACCACAGAACATCTTGCTTCCTCCAGCTGTATTTGAAGTGACAGGTGGCAGGCAGTATTGGGACAACCAATCAAAGGTCATCTTTAAAAGATTCCAAATGCAAGATGTAGAGAGGAAAGCCAGTCCTTGGCTGGTGTCTTGAAAGAATTCAAGTATCCGAAGTCCATCAGTCTTTCTTCATAGGCTCACACGGGTCCCATCCATACAGGTCCCATCCATTAGACTCCTCGTTTTCCTTCAGCCTCAAAGGCTAGTCTCCAGAGATGAGTCCACAATCAACCTTCATGCCCTTCTAAAGCTCTAGGATCAGCTAAAAGTCATCATGATGCCCCCTCCATGAGCTTCCAAATGAGAGGAAAAGGGATATTTAGTCTCCATTTCATGTTTATGTTTTTTTTTTAAGTACTGGCTGTTCTCCCTTGGCTGTAGGTAGGCACTAGAGTGACCCAAACTCTGACATCTTACATCTGGGCAACATCTTTTTATCAACATAGAAATATTAATAAGATATATCTAATTAACATCTCCCATAAACTTACACTTATTGTCTGTGGAGTAGGACCCCTTTGGTTGTTTTCAATTCTTGTAATATTTGGTTAAGCTTTCTTGATGAGTGCTGAAGATCATACAGGTGCAGAAAAATAATTTCTCTTCTGTGCTGTTCAACAGATCCTCAGGTGTCAAGTGGACTTGATAGGATCCTTAGGCTCCTCTAGCCTTTTTCTACCAGTTGTCCAACAATGTGAGGGTAAGCTAAAGGCCTTGTTTACCAATTATAGCTCCCTCTGAAGCCTGCATTGAACTTCCTCATTGTACATTGACAATATTTTTAATTCATTGAGTAGAGTCACCATGGCTCCACAAATGAGTGACTTACCACAGGTACAGAACACTGATTAATCTCATCAGTGGCCCACAAACTACTGAGACCTCATTGACCAGAGAGGGCAAAGGGGAAACTAGTCTATTAATCCCTCTGACAACATTAGAATAGCCTCCAAGTGTGATTACTTAATGTGAAGAAGATCACTTTTCAACTAGTCTGACACTTTTAACTACTTATAATATTTCAATATCCAGACATTTCTAAATAAACTTGGATCCGGGATTCATTTTAGCCAATCTATGAGATTGCTGATCTTTGCATTTTCCAACTTTAATACCACTGGACATCATGTGAAACCCTCATCCTTTATGTTCCTTTTAAATGACTGCTTCAGAAATTCATAACTTGCAAAAACTTTCTAGTCTTATTTACTCTGGAGATATCCAGCCACCTTTATCTTCATATATCTAAATCTTTCATTACTGAGGCCATTTACATATTTAGATCCTCCTAACATTTTCATTTACTGTTTTTTCCTTACTGTCACGAGACATAGGGACATTAACAAATAAATTTATTAGATGATCCATTTTACTGATGTGTAGATGGATAGTTGTATTCTCATTTTCACTAGGGAACATGAAGAAGTGCCCTCAGTTTCTCCACCCTTCAAGATGTGACTCTGGAATACCTGTGAGCTCACTGAATTCTCCTTGTAGTTCTGTCTCTCTGTCTCTGTTTCCCTCACTGATTTTAGGCTGTCTGTGCTTGAATACAATGTAGCAAACTTTTAAAATATAGATATTAAAACACATATGCCAAAGAAAGCAGTAGTTAATGGCTGTGAGTTAGGGAGGGCTTTGGCACCATTGAGGGATAAACTTCCAATACTCCCTTTGGACATTTCCTTGATTTTGAGCAGTGGTAGAAAACACCTTGAATCCCAGCACTTGTGAGGCAGAGGTCAGCAGATCTCTGTGAGTTCAAGGCCCTCCTGGTCTACAGAGTGCTATCCAGTGCTACACCAAGAAACCCTGTCTTGAAAAAAAGAGAAACAAAACCAACTGAAATAAAAGTTTCCTTGACCCTCTTCTCCAATTTTATATTCTATCGATCTATGTGATAGTCTTCAATCTGAATACAAGTACAGCATGAAAGAACTGAGACTAAGTCACTATATAGAGAGATTACTTTCTGTAATTCAGGCTGTCTGGGTTAGAAAAGGTACAGTATAGTTTACTATATGCAATCTGTGATTAAACTTTCACTCACAGTTTAAGGATAATAGGACACAGAAATTAGAAAACAACTAAATTATCTAAGAAATGAACCATATTAAAAAGTGTTTTTTCTCCATATCTAGTTTGTCAAGCGAACAGACAATGAAAATAAAAGCATGCGTTCTGAGGACATACAGGGAAAACCCAACAATGGACATCAAAGATTGAACAGGAGTCATGAGTGTTTTAGGGAAAAACAGGCAATTAGATTACCAGTGTAGTGCAGGGTTAAGATATGAGGCATTAAGACCCAGCTTATCCTGTATCTACATTCCCCCCCAACCCCCACCCAGCATACCTTCTCACTGGCAGCAGCTTGTCTAGCACCTAGAAATCTATAATTTTGGGTCCTTTGACATGTGTACTTTCCCAAGGATGACCGTCTAGGCTGATGCAAATTCACATGAGTCTTCAAATATCAACACTGTAGTGGGTTATGGTTTTTGTTTACTATTTGGATATTTGTTGGAGGCATATCTCAAGGGGTTATTTCTATTCTTTATGAGGCTTGATGCAGTAGCTGCACCCCACTCTAGCATAATAAACATTTAGCTGTTTTGGAAGTTCATTCCTTTGTGTCTTAGTTCTACAAGCTAGCCCTATTCTCTTCATATGTTCCCAAAAGGGAAGAGTGTTATATTATGCTTTTTCTATTATGTCATACTCTCCTAACCTCCTCTATGTATACCCCTATGTATGGCAGAGAGGGCTCAAGCCAATCCAACTTCTTAACAGAATACTTTCCTCTGGGTTCAGACCAAGTTCTTCTTGCCAATCAATAAGCTACCAAGCCTGGAAGATTAAACCTAATTATATGCATAGCTCTTTTAGGTTTCATTGTAAGCACACTTCCCTCTGTCTCTTTGATTTTGTGACAGCTCTTCTAGATACAAATATAGACTTTAGACCTTGGTCTTCATCAATCAAATGTTCTCAAGATTCCTGTAGCCAATATAATAGTAAGTTCCTGATACCATTTGTCCATAAAATGTTTCCTGGAATCAGTGCCTCTCAGAATACAATCAACAGGGTACATTAAACATTCTTTAGTAGGTTTACAAAAAGTAACTTCTACAGCAATTGGAGAGTAAGAAACAGGCTGAGTTATCTTCTGAAGAACAGCAGGTAGATCATAATTCAAGGCAGTGTACCGTATAGACCATGACATGTTTCAGGGCACAGGCCAAGAAAATTTTGTACTTTTCCACCATCTGGCCCCTCTTACCCCCTCCCCTTGTGAAACATCCTAAAAAAAAGATTTCATGTTTAAAAATAAATAAATTTTTTTTAAAAAAAAAAAAAAAAAAGAAACAGGCTGAGTAGGAGTGAAAGAGACATAGAAACTTTCTTCTGTTCCCACAGTATTCCCCATTAGGTTCAACTTCTCATCAGACATTCCCCAGGGGAATGGTTCTCCATTTCCAGATTACATCCTTTGTTTACCTGTGCCCAAATAACCATGAAAAACTCAGTACCAACAGCAAGACCAAGAAAGGAGAAACCCAGGGCCAGACATCTCTCTAGGGAATCATAGGAGATAGAGCAGAATCTTCTTACAGGATCTGTCGCCCAACAAGGAACTCAAAGAGACTCTGCTATATGGTGAGCCATCCCATCTATACAGCATCTTGATCCTTGTGATGCATAACTCCTGTCAACCTGATGTCAGTTCTACTTATATAAAAAATATACTACGTCCCTCAGAGCCTTATGCTGCTCTCATAGGGAGATTCAAAGATGCTGCCAAGAAACAAGTAAAAGGGGAACAAATTCAAGAGTTATTATAAAGACAGCTGGGGTTTGATAATGCTAGGGAAGGTTTTAAAGGATCCATCAGCCCTCAAAAGAGAGTGACAGAAAATGTTATGGACTTTCTAAATTACGCAGAAACATGGGGACCTTCAAACAGAATAAGATTATCTGCTTTAGAAACATACACTGGATATTGGATTTATTTACATTTCAGATGTTATCTCCTTTCTCCATTCCCCCCACCCAAGAAACCTCCTCTCCCATCCCCCCTCCTGCTTCTATGAGGATGTGCCCCCACCCACTCTACAGAAGTGCATTGCTTTTGATAATAATATTCCATGACAGGTAAGGAAGGCATTCTTGTCAGAACAACCTAAGACAGGTTCAGTCTTGAAATAAAAAAAGGGGGAGATGTGGAGAGCTTTGGGGGCTGCTTGGCAGGAATCTGACATTGGCCAAAGACAAGGAAATGGGCTGCTTGGCAGGAATCTGACATTAGGCTAGAACAAAGAAGTAATTTCAGGAAGGAATCTAAATCTTAGGCTAGAACAAAGAAGCAGGCTTCAGGCATGAAAATGACTTTGGGCTAGGACAGGGAAGTAGGCTCAGAAATTTTGGTCATCCTGATAAGCCCTTAGAAATAGTGATCACAGGAGTGATCATGAAACTGTTTATTGTCGTGCATGTTCTTTGACTATCTGGGTTTATTGTCTTGCTTGTTCCTTGACTATTTGCATTTATTATATTGCTAGTTACTCAATCTAGAACTGACCTTAATACTTGCATTAATTAAAATGGTATAAAAGCAGATTGAGAAAAAAATTTAAAAAATAGAAAATTATGCTGGATGGCCGGGAAGATGGTGGATGGGAAGGCAGGAGAGGAGAAGCCTGAGAAGCCGCAGCGAGCCAGAGCCGCCGGAGGACCTGAAGAAGAAGCAGAAAAACCTGTGAAAACTAAGACTGTTTCTAATGGAGGGGAAAGTTCCAGTCGCAGCACTGAAAAGCGATCAGCTGCAGACGAAGCTGCAGACCTCCCAACAAAGCCTACAAAGATGTCCAAGTTTGGATTTGCCATAAGTAGTCAGACAGCAAGGAAAGCATCCGCCATCTCCATTAGACTCAGAGCAAGTCCTAAGGAAACAGTTCCAACTCTTGCTCCAAAAACTCTTTCGGTGGCAGCAGCTTTCAATGAAGATGAAGACAGTGAGCCAGAAGAAATGCCTCCAGAAGCAAAGATGAGCATGAAGAATATTGGAAGGGACACACCAACATCAGCCGGACCAAACTCCTTCAATAAAGGAAAGCATGGCTTTTCTGATAACCAGAAGCTGTGGGAGCGAAATACAAAATCTCATCTTGGAAATGTCCATGACCAAGACAATTAAGTGAAGTGTTCTGAGATTGGGGTGTGGGTGGGTGCAGTTAGAAGGAGCAGTCTCCTTTTTGTAAAGAATGGTGTAAGACTAGCTTTGGAGCCGTTTTTCTTTCTTCTTTTTTTCTTTTCCTTTTTTCTTTTTTTAAAGATTGAGTGGTACACTAATAAATGAGAGTCTGCAATTAGAGGTAATTTATGTTTTATATACAGATTTCAAAACATTTGCTAATTTTGTAGTTTCACATGATTAGTTTCCAAGGGTTACAGGTAATAAAGAAATCAGAAGTGGTACCTTTCTAAGAATTGCATATTTTTTTAGATACAACTATTAGCACATTAAGAGGGAAGCCAAAAGTTATTATCTCTGACTCTCCCCTCATAACCTGAGTGTCTGGCTCCCTGGAACAGCCTTACCGAGAGGGAATATTGGATTGTTACTGGACTATTGACTGAGAGTAAATTTAGATAAGGTTAGAATGAACCTTTTCCTATGGGCATTTCATTTTGTTCTGGGCCATTATATACTAGTACTGCTTCACTCGCAGTGGGTACAGACGCTTTACTCTGTAAACAATTTTTTTGTTGTTGTTAAAAATTCTTATATGAAGTATTGAGTATTATAATTAGCCCACTTTAATGGAGCTTGTCTCTGTTCAGGATTCTTCAAAGGACATTATTTGCTACCAAAGTAAATCAGTATTTTGAATGTGCTTCTCTTGGTTTCTATTCTAGTTCCTATAAGCATTAGTTCATATAAGCATACTTCATATAAGAATTTGAGGCAAAACATAAGGAAGCTGTTTCTTTTAAAGTACAAACACAACCAAAAATATCAGTGTACTTACTGCTTTAAGTATTTGGCTGGCTTTTATTTTTTAAAAGGTTTAAATACCAAAAGGAAAAAAGGTATAACATTGTATGAAGACAGATGAGGCAACACACCTTCTGTGACTTTTGAAGCATTAAGTTACTAACTTACTAGAAGATTTCTTATTTGTACAACTTCATGGCTTATTTTAAGTACATACTGGGCAGTGGTTTCAAAAGCACACGTAGTGACTGAGATGGGACAGAAATGCTTCTTTAGACACATGTTCATTGTGAGTCTCTCACCGCCCATTCTCTTAGAGTTCTGTATGTAGGATGTCTGTTTTGTATTTTTGTATTGTATATGGGCTTTTTAAATGTGACAGTTAAATGCATCTTTAATAATCACAGACAAAAGAAATGATAAAATGTCCTTGAAAATTACAATGTTAAATTTGGAGGCAGCTTCGGTGAGTTTCATGGGTCGTGATAATTCACTAGGCAGTTTTAATGTAATGACTAACAAGAAGCAGCCTGAGGATACTCCTAACACTTCATTCACTACACTTTCGTTTACTTAATAAGCCCCAAGTAAAACGATGGAAATGTACATAGTGCTATTAGTTCATACATGATTTAAGTATATCAAGATACATAAATTTAACTTTTATGTCTGCACACTGTCCATTTGTCCATTTTACTGTTTGTTGAAATAACACCTTTCCTACATATTCTTTACTTGACTCAACCATTTAACCTGAGGTCAAGATGGAGGGAGACGACTGAGCTGAATGTCTTTACTAAAATTACAATAAATTTTGTCAAACTTGGAAAAAAAAAGAAAATTATGCTGTTCAAAGACAGATGTCTGCAGAGTATTTGAATGGGTGCCAAACTGGCCACTTAGAGAAACAATGTAAATTGCCCTTGCAACACACCAATACTCTGAATCAAGGAACTAATGGCATAAGCCATAAATGCCAGAAAGGAAAACACTGGGCTAAGAAATACTGATCTAAGGATGATAAGGATGGCTATGCATGGCCTACCAAATCTAACCACACCAACCATGAGCCAGGAAATTGATTTTGGCCCCCTCTTCGTGCCTCACAAAACTAAAAGTGTTTAATGCCAAACCAATAATGTTTGTGATTATTTCAGATTGTAGTTAATATTTTCTTTCATTATAAGCTGGTACACAAAACAGTATTGTTATTGATAGTCTTTGCCTTAAAGATATTGCCATTTCTCTTCTCTCTGCCTTTTAAGTTTCACTTGACATTGGGAACCTGTACTGCCAGGAACAGATGTGTTTTTATTGGGTCATAGTAGTTTACCCATGAAAAGAATTATACAGGAATAATTGATGAAGATTATCCAGTATAATTACAGTCATGATCACAGTGTCCACTGAGTGCCAAAATTAAGTAGGAGAAAAATGCACAATTATTATTACTGATTTATGTAGTCCTCTCATTATAACAGGACTTTCTTTGGACCACAGGCAGACAGAATAAAGGCACAGCCACGTTTTATTACTCATGAAAACCTAGGCCACAGAGCTTAGGCCTCTTCCAGACTACCTTGTATATATAACATGAATCCCATCTGTACTAGTCCACACTTGCCATACAGTCCTTCACCTCTCCTCAGTCTCAGCACATCTGACTTCTGCCATGTCCAGGTAGCAAATCTCCTGTCCATCAATTCTTCCCAGTGGTTCTACCTCTGCCTGGAAGTTTCACTTTTCCTCTCCTGTCTATAGACCACAAGGTCTTTATTAAACCAATCAGAAGGTGGTGTGTGTTTACAAAACACTGAGACAGTTAATGCTTTATAGATATAACAATACCAAAGTCAGGACAGTACTCAGCTCTCTGCTAATACAAAAATCAGCATTTGAATGATACAAAGGCAACCTTTACATACTATACAAAAAGACTATCAACACTTCATGGAAAAAATGTGCTTCACTTCATGAGGGAGGATTTGGTAATTAAGTAAAACTGTACCTTTAAACATTTTATTGAAGGAGAATGATAAGCCATTGTTTTATTTAAGTATAAGAGGAAAAACCTTTGTAAGATTAATTGACTCTGGAACTGATATCTCTACTATAACCATAGAAGAATGGCCACCTGAATCCGACCCTATCAGGTTTATCATTGTTTACTAAGGAGAGTAAACAATGTGCTACAAGATTACAATGCATAGGTCCAGAAGTCAGAGTGGCAGGTCTGTTGCCTTTTGTAACTCGGGTTCCTTTTGATCTTTCCAGAAGAGACCTTCTGCAACAAAATGCAGAGATCTACATCTCCTTTTCTAGTGCACTTACTCTTCACAAGACAATGGCTTATGAGAAAGATGGGACATCAGAAGGAAGAGAGTTGCAAGGGATTATTGAACCTATACCACAAATGATAAATTTTTCATTGCACTTTTCATAGGGACAATTGAAAAAATACCACCCATAAAAATTACATGGAAACTCAACGAACCTGTGTGAACACTTCAATATCCCTTCTAAAGAAAAGTTACAGACTCTTTATGAGTTAATCAAATAAGATGGGTACCTAGAGCCCTCTTCTCTCCCTGGAATTATCCTGTTTGTTTGTTTGTTTGTTTGTTTTAATTACAGAGAAATCTGGTAAATGGAGATTACTGATTGACTTATGGAATACTAATGCCACCATGTGGCAAATGGAAATTTTATAGTCTGATTTACCCAAGTCCAACAGCTATTAAAGACTCAACTTTATGGGTTTGAATTTAAAAGCTTCATTTTATACTATACATATTTATACTGATAGGGTGCACTTTGACATTTTTGTTCCCTCACAGAATCCATCATTTGGCCTACCTGGCTGTAGCCCCCTGCAGCCCCCCTGCCCCTCCCCCGTGGCTCTACCCACCTCTGACACTGACTTTCCTCCGGCCCAGCCCTGCTGTCTTTTTCTGTGCTTGCCCAACAGACCCTGGCTACCTCTGGCTCCACTCTCCTTGATGACAGCCCTGCCATCACCGAGAATCTGCCAACTCCCACACTTCTACCCCCAATAGTCGCTCCAACCCTCCCAGCTTCTGGTCCTGTTCCCTGTCCCTTACTCTGTGGTCCTATGCTCCCAGGTTGCCATGCCCACCACCAGCAAGAACAGATGGCCCAGCAGTCTCCTTACCTCCCGTTTCTCCTCCACCAATTACTGTAGCTTCTGCACCTGCAGAGGCTGAGGCCAGCGCTCCAAGTGCCTGAGGACCCTGGACTCTGCACAAAGACCCAGGACCCAGATCACAGGACCTAGGACTCTGTGACAAAAGACCCTGGACCCAGACGTGGACTCTGGGACACAACAACCTTAAACCAGAGTACTCAGAACACTGGGAAGTGTGAACCCTGGACCTCAAAAGTTCTGGTGGAGCCCTCCCTACCTATCTGTTGCTCTAAGCTGTTCACTAAGCACACCTCTGCCTTCAAGGGCCATGGTTAGAAGTGGTTGGGGCTGAATGGAGCTAGCAGAGCCATGTGCAATCCAGTGTCTGACAGCCATGTCTATTCTCCAGAGACACTGAACAGTTACACTGACTGAGCATCCATGCTATGTGCCAGTCCCCATTATGTTCTCCTACTAACTCAGAGTGCTTTGGCCCAGTGCCTGTTCCATAGAAGACCCTGTTCCACCCCACTCAATCACTCACTCACGAATTCACTCCTCACTGCAGGCCAGTCATTCATCCAATATTTATCAACTCTGAGCTTGGCACCTTCAGTTATCTTAATGGGTGTTTGAGTGGTGGAGTGCTATGGTGAAAATGAAAGAAGCTGACAATGAGAATATGATATTAAATAAAGTGGGCAATGGGCAATAACAAGCGGAGGATTATACGAAGGGAGCCTTAGGAACAGTAATTCTATACTGCAAACAGCATGGACAAATGCCCTGGGGCAAGAAAAAACTTGGATTGTTTTAAGGCTGGGGGGCGGGGGGCTGTGTGTGTGTCAGTAGCAAAGGGTGGAGTAGAGAGGGAGAAGGAAGGATAGGAAAGTAGGTGGTATGGTGTGTCGGGGAACTGCTTCCCCACACCCAGACTGCAGGCCTGCAGCTCCATAACTTACCTCAGCCTACATTTCTTGTGATGTTGCAGGCTTCCAGTCTCCGGCAGGAGCCAGCCTACTTTTTGCCTCAGGTACAGGATCTCCTGAAATGCATACAGATGGTCCAGTCCCCTCCCCATCAGTGGGTTCCACTTTAGGTGAGGTCTCTAGGCTGGCACCCTCGTAAGCATGAGGCAGAGCCCCATCCCACCCTAGGCTTCTCCTACATCTCTTACGGGAACTAGTGTTCAGGGCAGAGGGTAGAGGGCCTTCACCTTCCTGGGGGCCCATCTCTCTTCATGTTTGGACACTGAGTTCTGGGCACTGGGGGAGATAATGTATGGGGTCTAGGCCAGGATCCACACAAGAAATAGTGTTGAACTCTCACCCTCAGGCTTTGCACAGTAAGTATGCTTTTCCCTGGGAGCCACACCTCCAGCTCCTGATCCTCTATTGGTAATTTACATAAAACCCGCTGAGTGGCCTTTATCCTAGGGGTTTGTTTCATGGAGTCCAAGCGGGGGCTGGGGGGGGGGAGGTTTCCAGTCCTTCAAATAGCTTTTCTTGCTTATTCTGAGACAAGGTCTGGTGTAACCCACCATGGCCTCAAAGTCAGTACTGTAACTGAGAGTGACACCAAGTTCCTGAGCTTCCCACTGCTGCCCACTGAGTGCTGGATGACAGGAACCACCACACCTGCTTTCTCCTATGCTGACGATAGAAGCCAGGGCTCTGAGCATTTTAGGCAAGCAGACTACAAATAGCTTCAGTCTCAGGCCCTGACTTCTTTCATACCTTAGACTTGATGCCTCTCTCTGCACATCTCCCCTTTAACTCACACAGTGTTATTATACCACACTTGGACAAGAAGGGGTTCATGACAAATTCATCAATGACATTCTGGGGTCTGTTTTGGAAATACATAAACTATGAAATCCAGAAGTGTTCTTCCCTCAGGCTGTCTGTGTCTTAAAGAGATGGGAACTGAGCATCTTGGCTCACTCATGAAATCTCACCACAATAGAATGCTGAAGCAGGAGGATGAGTCCCAGCTCAGTCAGGAGCGTACTGCAAATTCAGGTGAGCGTAGCCTACAATGTGATGTCTTGCACATAAATAAATGAACAGATATATAAAATGTAAAGAATCCAGCCTTTCTAAACTGTGAACTCAGAATTGATTTCGTTCTGGTGCTTTGGCATTGGTATTTGAAGACTATTAGTCTTGACAGGAAAGAGAGCGTTGTCATTACCAAACACACATGTAACTTCATTTTGTTACATTCTTTATGCATTTGTGTAGTTCTTTCTTCTGAATAGGCATATATGTTGCATACATACTTCAAGGTGGGAAGTGGCTCTATCTTCTGCAGTTCATGTGTAGAGGTCAGAGAAGATTGTGCAGGAGTTGGTACTCTCAGGTCACACGACTTGGCTGAGAGTACTTTTTTAAGCATATTTCTAAGGTGAGATTAGATGGTTCTCATCTGCTTGTCCTGTAGGATTGTGTGGTATGCCTGTAATGTGCTTATGTCATAATATGCAAAGAATTGCTTAATCTTACTGGAGAAATGTTCAGAGATATTATCAGTATTATTTTTTACAGATATCTGCATAATAGCCTTTATTTCCAGTAAAGGTGTAATTACAGAATCATCCTTTTTAGAACTCAAACCAGTTGCCCATTAAAATCCTGAATATGTATCAATGGTATGGTGTACAAACTTGCATTTTCCAAATTCTGCAAGATAAACTACATCCATATGCCAAATTTCTTTTTTTTTTTTTTTCTGGTAACCCTATGGTTACTTCCAGTGAGTTATGGAGTTTTGTTATACAAAAAATAAGTAGGACATTTTCTTATAATTTCCTTGGTTTGCTGGCAGGTGACAGTAATTTTTTTCTTTAAATCTTTATTGTTAACATGGTGTTTTCCATGAAAATTTGAGGCTTCTAACACATTTCCTATTAATAATTGGTCCATTTCATTTCCTTGTGCCAATGGGACTGAGCAAGCTCGCTGATGCCAGAAATGGCTGTTATAAAGTAGATAGTTTCTATTTCATATTGCCTGTTACAGTTGCATATATAACAAGTGTAATTTTGAATTGTTAGGAACAAAACAACTTTTTCTGCATATTGAGAGCCAGTAATTTTATTAAGAGATTAAAAACCTAATATAAGAATTGCATACAGCTCTGATTTTTGAACTGAAGTATATAAGCTTTGAACTACCTTGCTCGCTTTGAACTATTTTGCTCATTTTGTCTGACTTAAAACCTGTCATTCAATGTACTTACATCCACACAGAATGTAGGTGTTTTGGGAATTGGTGTTCCCTTTATGATATGTGGGAGAATCCAATTAATTATTTTTGTACACTGAAGATGCTTGCTTTTACGGTGTTTGCTGTCAATTTATCCTGAACAGTTGCTACAAGCTTTTTGTCAGTCTTGCTGAGTACTCATAATGACATCTTAATCTTAGCATAACGTACATGACTTCTGCTGGGTCTGGTCCTGACAATTGGTGTCATCTTATTCTACTCTGTATAATTAAATCAGAAACCTTTTCTATTTAAGTATTTAACTTTTTACTTTGTGTGGAAAGTGAGCCCATTCAGTATCTTCCCTTTGCATGATGAGCCAGTACGAGAATGAGCTGACGACAAAATAACCAAAATACTTTAGGATTTATAGCTTTAGGATCTATGTGACCCACATACACACCTTGTAGTCTCTGTTCTACCAGAGTTAGCTCTTACTTTGCTTCACCTGTTAACCATTCTGGACTGTTTAAACCTCCTCGTAATGTTTGAAACAAATTACTCAAGTCTTGAGTAGTGAATTCAATGGTAGGTGGCAGCCAGTTAATATCCCCATTAGTATCTGAAAACCAAAGAGTCTGCAGCTGATCTCTTCTAATCTGTTCCTTTTGTGGTTGACTGTTCTGTTGACTTATTTTATATCCAAATAGTTAATAGAATCTCTTTGCTGCAGGTTTTTGAGGAGCAATCTCTAATTCCCAGCAAGGCAGAGCTGTTTGTTTGTTTCCTTAAACTTTTTCTCTAAAATATTTCTTCAGAATCTGACAACAAAATATCCATGTAGTGATAAACAATACTTTGAGAAAACTGCCTGCAAATTATTTCCTGTGGTTGTTGTAAAATATTGACATAAAGTTAGGCTAATATTTCTTATGGAACTTTCCACTGATACCTTTTTACTGAGTGATCATTATCATAAGTAGGTACTGTGAAAGCAAACCTTTCCCTATTCTGCTCATGCAAAGGGATAGTGAAAAAAATCAAACTTTAAATAAATTACTATCTTCAGCCACGGCTTAGGGAGTAAAGAAAGTGAGGGATTTTCAGGCTGTAAGGGGCACATTAGTTGAATTATTCTATTCACCACTCTTAAATGTGTTAACATTCTTCATTTTCCTGATTTCTTTATTATAAAAAACACAGAGGAATTCCATGGGCTAGTAGATGATCCTGTATGTTGCCCCTACAGCTGCCCTTGTATCAGCTGCTCAAGTGCCTATAATTTTCCCTTTGTTAAGGGCCACTGACCTACCCGCACAGGCATATCAGTCAACCATTTTGAGGATAGGGTCATTGGTACTTCAGTGATGGCTTCCCTTATAAATTTGGAAACTCAATCCCTGTGATGTCTTGTGTTTGGACAACTGACCCAGCCTTAGTTATTTTTGATGATGCATAGCACTATGTTTCCCAGGAGCATGTGCCAGTTCAACTCTAATTTCATCATGAGGTCATGGGAATATTAATCTGAGCCCACTGTTGTAAAAGATCCGTTCCCTATAAACATATGGGTATGTCAGCCACATAAGGCTTTAACTTGTCCTTTTCTAGTCTCACACATTTGTCCCATAGTGCACTTTGTCTGAGATAACGTTCCAGTTCCTAGAAACTGTGTATGAACCGTTGGAAATGGTCATTCTGAATTTCAAGATTTTTGATAAATAATAGTTATATCGGCTCCTGTAGCCAGCAAACCTACTATTTCAGTACTCTTTACTTGCAATTTTAATTATTGGCTCTGAACATTAAAAATTGTTTGTCAGAATATGTTTTCCAGTACTTCCAAACCCTTCTGTTCTTCCTACTTGACCCATTTTGACTTTGATGTAGGGAAACAGTAAAAGCTGAGCAACTCCTATCACTTGCATTAAATTCCATCTCTGTTTTGACATAGGCTATAATTTTAATTTCTCCTTTGAAGTCTTCATCTTGAATTTCTGGATAGATGAATCCTTGAGAAGTCAATCTGCAATTTCCAAGATCCCTACTGTCCTGGCAGGCACCATGAACTCCAGTATATATTTTATAACATTGAGTTTTAGGAGATACAGTAAGATGTTTATTTATAGCCAGGTCTAGAACAGCACTGCCTGCAGTAGCTTGCATTGGTCCAGTGGAAACCCTTGCCACATTCCCTGAACATACTTTGATGACTATAGGCTGTCTTTCTGGTGTATATTTAGAAAAAACATTACCCTTAAAGATGGCTTGTTTACTTTTTCAGTGCCAAGTACCATATTTCTTGTGTTTAACACACTGGCATTTTGTGATCTGAGATCTTTAATGGCTTGGTAACCGTCTCTTTTCAAATGAGCGTATCTCATGCAATTAAAGCATTGTGATATTAAAGACCTCCAGCCATAGTCTGATCTATACTATGAGCATATGGTACACATCAGAACCACTATCGGTCATATCCCTTATCTGTTCATCCATGTGTGCTTCCTAAGCCTTTGATAGTGTAATACCTTTATATTCTGTTATTTGCGTATTCCTCTGCCAAGATTTCTATCAATACCTGCCTTACATCAGAGTCTGATAGGGCCTTCTTTACAGCTAAGACTAACCTTTGTTTAAAAAAAAAAATCAAGCTGGGCAGTGGTGGTGCACGCCTTTAATCTCAGCACTTGGGAGGCAGAGGCAGGCGGGTTTCTGAGTTCGAGGCCAGCCTGGTCTACAGAGTGAGTTCCAGGACAGCCAGGGCTACACAGAGAAACCCTGTCTTGAAAAACCAAAAAAAAAAAAAAAATCAGTGACAGCTTCTTCAGATCCTTATATAATCTTTATAAATGAGGTGGATCTTATATTATTCTTCTCAAATTTGTCCCAAACTCTTAAAGCCACTAAGCAACACTGTTCTATAGTAACAAAATCGAATTGCTTTTGTTCTTACATCAGAGCACTGCCCTTTGCCTAGCGGTTGGTCTTTTACTATAGTCATCCCCTTACACTGTTTCACTTTTCAATATCCATGCTCCTTCCTTTCAGCGTGGGCAAAGGTATATTTCTATTTTGAGTACATCAGTCATTTAGAATTTGTTTCACATAAGATGAGGACATCCCAAATGAAACCATGGCCTCCTTAAAATGCCTTAGATTTACCATCTCAACAGGATGCCATCCTATCTTGTCATAACTTTGTTTCACCCTATTAGCAGGCACTTGCTGTATAACTACTGGGAAACATGATAATGATTTTGTAACTCCAGGCTGCCCTGCCTCCCACTCTAGTGGCACAATTGTTTGGAGATTAACCCTTTCTCTTGAAATAGGCTGTTTCATCAGACTGCCATCCTTTCTTTTCAGCTTTTCTCTGACCTGAGGACCCTCAAGAGCAGTTTCTTTCTCACTTTATTCCTGTCAGAAAGTCCTGCTGTCCTGTGCAGTCACCTGGACTGAGTCTTTTTGTTCTTGTTCCAGTGCGTGTAGTTTCCCAAGTGCTTCAATCTCCACCTGCAATTTTTCCGGTATCCCTGACAATTCTGTAAACCTTTCAAAAAAGAAAGAGCACAGTGAACCCTTTTGTTTTCTCATTTCTGTCATTTGTTTCTCAGTCCTTCCATTTTCATTCCCAATTTTTCCAACTGCTGAGCTGTTCTCCCCACCTTTTTTTGAGACAGGATATGGGGTGAAGAAAAAGGAAAATTAAACAATAAAAAATAAATATAAACAACAACAAATAAATAAATAAACACAGAAGATCCTCCCTGAGAACGAACCAGGAGATACCCCAAGGTAAGCAGCCACAGTGAATGTTTGTTGACGTCTTGAAACAAAAAATCCCTTCCTTCATCCCAGGCTGTTTCCTCTACGGCATCTGAAATAAAATTTCCCATCATTCTGCCTAAATCCATGTATGGGTGTCAAGTGTGCCCAGCGTTTGCTACTTTGTGGGCTATTTCTTCTACCCTTCTCCACCCCCTTTCTTCTTCCCTTTCAACCTCCTAATACTAAATCTAAAAGAAAAAAGGATATAGGGGAAAGGAAGCAATGTTATTATTAGACTACTACCTGCTGATTAGAAGTGCTGAGTTCCTTGGGACAAAGTTGATCTTTGCCATCAGGATGTCTAATTTGTTCTTGTTTCTTTGAACAACAGCATTCAACTACCAATCATCAACCCACACCCTGTCTTGGGGCCATAGCCCCATATATATATGCCCTCTGAAAAGTCTCCAGAATTCCAAACATGACATGACTGAACCAACTACCTGCCACTGTGAAAAGTCACACATGAGACAAATCATAGAAGCTCCATATACTCACACCTGGGATTAAAACAAAAACATATTTACATAATATTCCTATGTTTTTTAAAGAAACCAAAATTACAAAATTCTCACTACTTCTAGATTATATTTTTAAAAGATCCATAAGGAGATAAGCTTGTTTGGTTTGGGGGATTTTTAGTTGTTGTTGATGTATTTGGGTCTTGTTTGTTGTTTTGAAAATTTTGAGACAGTCTCTCTTCATAGCTATGCCATGAAGATCTAACTATGTAGTTCAAACTAGCCTGAAACTCATAAAAATTCACCTGACTCTGTCTCCAAAGAGCTGGCATTACAGGCATGGACCACTACACCCAGCTGAGATGTTTTTAAAATGACCTATCTTTAAATCAGAGAAGGAAAGGATAACGTAAGAATTCAACAGGAGCCTTCACTCTTTGGAGAAACACAAACTTCTTGGAATACTAGAATGCATTTATCATGACTGGTAAATCATTTGTGTTCTCAATATTTTGGCTTTCTTCTTTAATTCCATCTATGATAATTTTTGTCTGTGTGTATACACCTGTGCTATGTTGCGCATGTGCCAGTCAGAAGACAACTTACAGGTGTCTATTCCCTATTTCCTCTAGTTGTAGAGTTGAAGAGACCAAACACAGGTAGTCCAGTTTTGCAGCAAGTGCCTTCAACTATCAAGGGAAATCATTGGCCCTTATTTACCTGTCAACAATATTTTTGTATAACTGTCCCATTGAGTGTGTGCATGAAACAACCCAACTAAAAATGTCAGAGAAAAACGATGAGTAACGTGAGTTTCCACATTACATATAAACTCAGGTCACTAGGCTCAGCAGCAACCACCTTTAGTCACTGAGACACTTATCTGCCATTCATCTGTGCTTCTGAGAAAGTGTTCAGAACAAGTATTAATTCCTCAGAATAAAGTAACCCATAAAAATGATGGCAGTATTAATATCATTTTCACTTGCAAATAGGTTTTATTATTCAAATTATTCTGTGTTCCTCTATTCTTGGATGACAATTTGTAAAACAAGACAATATTTTAATGATGAAATGATTCTACTAATCTTGTATGATTCCCAGTGAGCACACTCAATGCGGAAATTGTGCTTGGTGTGTAAGGCTTTACTGCATTTATAGATTCATGGTGTTTCTAACCAGCAGTAATTCTTTCATGCCCTTGAAGACCATAACATGCAGAAGCATTATCACTTGATTACATTCACAAGGTTTCTTCCCAGTATGAGTTTTTTGATATGTCTGAATATTATACTTACATGCCAAAGCTTACCATATTACATTTGAAGGGTTTCTCTCCATATGACATATTTTTTTGTGATTACGAAGACTACTGTGACATATAAAGGCTTGTCCACATTGACTACACTCATAGTTTCTTTCCAGTAGGATTTCTTTTGTGTATTTGAAGATGACTGCAACATGGAAAGGCTTTACCACATTGATTAATTTGGTTTCTTAACAGTATGATGTTTTCTATGATATCGAAGACTACTACGACTTGCAAAGGCTTTACCACATTGATTACACTCATAAGGTTTCTCTCCACTATGACTTCTTTCATGTACTTGAAGACTAAAGCGACGTGTAAAGGCTTTACCGCACTGATTACATTCATAGGGTTTCTCTCCAGTGTGAGTTCGTTCATGCCTCTGTAGACTAATGCAATGTACAAATGCTTTTCCACATTGATTACACTCATATGGTTTCTCTCCAGTATGGATTCTTTCATGTATATATAGATCACTTCGACGTGCAAAGGCTTTACCACACTGATTACATTCATACGGTTTCTCTCCAGTGTGAGTTTTTTCATGTTTTTGAAGACTACTGCTACATGCAAATGCTTTACCACATTCAATGCAATGATAGGGTTTTTCTCCTGTATGAGTTCTTTTGTGTAGGAGAAGATTACTGCGACATGCAAATGCTTTACCACATTCATTACAGTCATAGGGTTTCTCTCCTGTATGAGTTCTTTCATGTATTTGAAGAGAACTGTGACTTGGAAAGGCTTTACCACATTGAATACATTTGAATGGCTTTTCTCCAGTATGACTTCTTTCATGTATAAAAAGATTATTGCTATATGCAAAGGCTTTACCACACTGACTACATTCAAATGGTTTTTCAAGAGTGTGATGTTCTTTATGATTTTGAAGACTCCTATGACGTGCAAAGGCTTTACCACATTGATTACACTCATAGATTTTCTCTCTAGTATGACTTCTTTCATGTTTTTGAAGAGCATTGCTATATGCAAAGGTTTTACCACATTGATTACATCCATACGGTTTCTCTCCAGTGTGCTTTCTTTTATGAATTTGAAGATTACTGCTACTTGCAAAAGCTTTACCACAGTCATTGCAATCATAGGGTTTCTCTCCTGTATGAGTTCTTTTGTGTAGTAGAAGATTACTGCTACATGTAAATGCTTTGCCACATTCGATGCAATCATAAGGTTTCTCTCCTGTATGAGTTCTGTTGTGTATTTGAAGAGAATTGCGACTTGGAAAGGATTTACCACAGTGATTACATTCATATAGTTTTTCTCTAGTATGGTTTTTTTCATGTTTTCGAAGATGACAGAAATTTGCAAAGATTTGACTGCATTGCTTACATTCATAGGGCTTCCCTTCAGTATGGATTCTTTCATCTGTTTGAAGAAACCTTGTATCTGCAAAGGTGCACTGCTTCTTCCCATGTCCCTTAAGTTCACAAGGCTTGTATCCAGAGTGACAGTTGTTATGTCTATTAAAGGAGAGATGACAAAGGCAGTCACAGTGCATTCCCACAGCTTAACATTTTGTTCCCCATAAACATGTGCTATAAGGATTAAGATTTTCCACAACAACTTTCTTGCCTCCTGTAAACTGTTCCTCTCACTAAACTTTGGAAAAATCATTGTAAGTATATGAGTAACACTAGCTTTACTATGAACTATTTGCTTATAAAAGGTCTGGGACACCAAATCAATGTTATGCCTTTTATGATAACTGAATGGCATGAAACCAAATGGAGGTCAGCTACTGAAACTGAAGTACATATCATCTTGTGAGGATTTAACAATCGTTAAAAACAAAATGCTGTGCTTATTTCCATTGTTGTTTCTCTTTAAAACCTTGGTTCCCATTAAATCAGTGATGCATTTCTATGCTTTCCCATGAAATTTACCTTCCATATCTTCTAGAGCGTTGAGAGTGTTCCTCATTATTCAGGTCTTCCAATTTGTATCCTAAAATATGATACCAGAAATTTTATTTTTTATTTTTTTATTTTTTTAAACAAATCTCAGGTCTCTTTGATTTTCCCCATTAATTAATTAATTACTTAATTTATTCACTTTATATCCTGATTGCTACTCCTCCCCTTATAGTTCCCCCTCACATAGTTCCTCCCTCCTTCCTGGGAGTGTGAGAAATACCCTCCCCTCCAGGAATCTGACACATCAAGTCAAGGATGTGTGGGGCCAGGCCCATCCTCTACCACTGAGGCCAGACATGACAGCCCAATTAGGGGAACAGATTCCACAGACAGGCAACAGTTTTTTGGACAGTCTTTGCTCCAGTTGTTGGGGACACACATAAAGACCAAGCTGTACACCTGCTACATATGTGAAGGGGACCTAAGTCCAGCCCATACATGATCTTTGGTTGGTGGCTCAGTGTCTGAGATTAAGGTCCAGGCTTGTTGACACTGTTGGTTTTCCTGTGGAGTTCCTATCACCTTCAGGGCCCTCAATCTTTCCCCTAACTCTTCCATAAGAGTCCCCAACCTCTGTCCAACATTTGGCTGTGTGTCTCTGCATCTGTTTCAGTCAGATGCTGGGTGAAGCCTCTCAGAGGGCAGTTATGCCAGGTTCTTGTCTGCAAACATAGCAGAGTATCATTAATAGTGTCAGGGATTGTGCTTGCCCATGGGATGGGTTTCATATTGGGGCAGTTATTGGCTAGCCGATCCTCAGACTCTGCTCCATCTTTGTCTCTGCATTTCTTGTAAACAGGATAAATGCTACCTCCACTGGGGGTTCTGCCTGGACACAGGAGGCACCCTCTTCAGGTTCTCTATTGCCACTGCTATGAGTCTCAGCTAAATACGAAATATCTTGGTGTAACTCTAAACAAGCAAATGAAAGACCTGTAAGATAAGAACTTCAAGACTCTGAAAAAAACAAATTGAAGAATAAATCCAAAGATGGAAATATCTCCCATGTTCATGGATTGATAGGATAACATCTTACCAAAGGCAATCTACAGATTCAATGCAATTCCCATCAAAATTCTGACATTTTTTTACAGACCTTGAAAGAGCCATTCTCGACTTCACATGGAAAAAGAAGTACCCAGGATGGTTAAAACAATCCTGTATAATAAAAGAACTTCTGAGGTATCACCATCCCTGATCTCAAGCTGTACTACAGAGCAATAGTAATAAAAACTGCATGGTATTGGTATACAAACAGGCTGATCAATGGAATCAAAGATCTAGAAATAAACTCACACACCTATAGACACTTGATTTTCTGACAAAGAAGGCAAAACCAGAGAATAAAAAAAAAAGCATCTTCAAGAAATCCTGATGTAACTGGATGTCTGCATGTAGAAGAAGGCAAATATTTATCAGCCTGCATGAAACTCAAGTCCAAGTAGATCAAAGACCTCAACCTAAAACCAGCTACAATAAATCTAATAGAAGAGATAGTGGGAAACAGCCTTTATGTCTGGCTTTAAGTGAAATGTTTCAGTGAAGCTTTTACTATGTTTGGGTCAATCAGTAGAGGCTAAGAAATTGTTCTGAGACTGTTTGAGCATTGAAGAAATGTTGTCTAGGGAATTTGCACTTAGTGCTACATGAGAACAGAGAGAACCACACCAACCTTGCTCTGAAGACACTCCTGGGAGATCATTAATTACGGCTAGTCATGGTCAAAGGGACTGAGGCCCATGTGAGTCGTCTGCTCACAGGGCACAGGGAAGATACCACTGGTAGCTGCAGCCTTTCTCAGTCACAACTACTCTGTGTGAGGTCTGAATAACGTAACTGCAGGGAGCTAGCCGGGTGTCAGTCTTTTCCAAGAAGGCCGAACCCCTCTGTTCCTTCGAAAAATGAAGACTTAGCATCCTGATGAGCTTCTCGCTACTGTAGCACCTACAACCAACATCAGTCAATGAATGGTGCCCAATTCTGTGGACCAGGAGGGAGAGGAATCCAGACTCACCAGGACTGGAGGTGAAAGACACTGTGCTTACAAGGAGATAAGTGTGTCTCCAGGATTTGGCAGAAGTCAGGGGAAATTTACCAGCTGGTCTGAGTAATTTCTCATCTCAAGAGCAGTTAATTTAGTGTTTACTGGAAGTTAGCAGAGTGAAAGTGAAATAAAGATCATTAAGTTCTTTGCACTAATTAAAAAGCAGTGTCTATAATTTCAATCAACTCCAAGTGTTCAATTAAAACAGTCAGTATGGAAACAAGTGCTAATGGCTTTAAGATGGGCCCACCAGAGTGGAGAGGAAATACCTATGAGGATTTGGTCTTTATGTACTTTAATTTCAAATGTCTTAGAACCATTACAGAGTGAACAGTCAGAAACAAATAGATCTAGTGTACAGCAAGATAATCTGTCAATGAGTGAGAAGAATACTTCAGAAGAGACTGGAAGTAAGACAAGTGAGGATTGAGAGGAATTTCCTCCCCTTCCTTCACATGAGATAGACCTAAAAAAGGAACAGACTGAATTTACTGCACAACTCCAAATATTAAGTAAACAAGTAGAAAAGCTCTTGAGACTTCCCAAAAGAAGAAAAAAGGTATGAAAATTTAAAAAACAAAAAAGTTACTTCCCAAAAGATGTATGAAGACAAAATATTTTTTAAAAAAGAGGTATTTAGAAAAGATTTAAACCAAGTAGACCCCTTCTCATTAAAAAGAGAAGTGTTCTGTGGCTTTAAGAACCTGGAATAGAGTTGAGGAACCATCCAGATATAAGAAATATGCTACTTGAATTTTTGGCTTTTGAAAGTGCAAATAAAGAATGGTAAAAAGTAATAAGACTGTTAAAATCTCAAGTTGCTTCTTTAGATGAATAGATAAAAGCTACTGCTGATACTGAATCTGCTGCATATAATGCAACTTTAATTGGACAAACGCCTTAGCTAAATGTTTTCTAACACACACACTGCTTTAACTGTGGGAAGCTTGGACATCTGAAAAAAGAATGACGATGTTTGCTTACTATAGGAAGTGTCTCATTATAATACAATCAACCACCAAGAACTAGTGCTGGATGTGGAAAAGGCAGACATTGGGCTAATGTTTGCTGATCAGTAAGAAAGATCCCAGGCAATGTTTTACCATCAGAAAATCAGATAAGGGGGTTACCTTGGGGCCCAAGATCAAACAACTTGAGCCAACACTATCCTGTTGGCAATGTAACAGTTCACCAACAAGGCAATTAGGGGACTGTAAATTTAATACTGCAGATCTAATCAGTATATGCTACTTCAGGCACTGACACTGTTTACTTAGCAGTAGGTAAATATCTTGCACTGTCTTCACAACTACCTTGTTATAAAATATCCACTGCAGTGTATGGTCCTGTTGCTACAGAGACAGCAGGAGTCACCTTGTGAAGAGGACTTTCACAGATCAAGTGTTAGTTGTATATGCAAGATTAACAAATGAAAATTGTCAAGGTGAGACTAAAAGCAAACCATACAGTTAGAGGCAAGTGATAAGATTGCTCAATTTCTATTACTACCATATTATAAAGGTAAAGCAGCTTGAATAAAAAGAACAGAACGAATTCTCCCATGGATTAAAAAAAATCACTGATACTTGGAGCTTTAACATTCTGCACTGAAGCAAATTAATTAGGACTGGGGGGTTCTAAATCAGGAAGTAAAAGTGACATGTTTCAAAGACTCCATTCTGTTCAAAACTCAAAACTGTATGTCATTCTTACGGCGTTGTTAGATTTTCCTGACGCTCGTAATGTAAGTACTGATTCTCAGCATGCTGAAGGATTTGTCTCACATACAGAAACTGCTGAACTTGTTCCTGATAACTCAGAATTACCCTTGTTATTTATGCAATTACAACAGGCAATTAAAGACAAAAATTACCCATTGTATA